AGCATAAGCCAAAAAGACTCCGATTGAACCCACTGCGTCTGAGCCTCTAACTCGGCCCGCATCGTGGCCATCCTTACGTCTTCGGCTGCCAGGTATTCCCTGGCTTGAGTTATCTGGTCTCTCACCTTGGCAATTTCCGCATTATGCTCATCCCGGTTTGCCGCACTAACCTCGGTCGTCATCAGTGTTGCTAAAGTGTCAAGTAAACCAGACAAGACTTGAGCCGGCGAGCGCGCAGGGCCTCCTGCCCCGGCCGCTGTTGCCGCCGCTGATTCGGAGATTAACACCGCCGCAGTTGAAGAATTCTTCCATGGTTGTGTACCAACCATGAAGATTGCAACTCGGTTCAGTGGCTCGTGGGGATCCGGAATACTGTCGCCATCGGAATAGCCCCCAAGCTGGCCGTCTTGCAGCTGGTACAATGACTCGATTTCTCCAGCAGATGACTCGCCATCGGAGTAAACGACGGTTTCACCACCAGATATCGATCAATCCTCAGATTCTGCCCCGTGGATGACTCCCACGAAGGCATGCTTCATGGGAGGCTGAACTAGGGCGGATCTCGCGCGCTGAGCCGTCTCGATGATGTTGGTGCAGATGTCCGGCTCAGGGCCCGGTTCGCTGATCTTACCGATGAAGACGTGAACTCCACCAAAGGGGACCCGGCACCCGTACTCAATGGAGCCGGCCTCAGGGCCCCAGCCCGTGTTGTCGATGTAGAGCTTGCCGCGGGGACTCTTGGTCATTCGGCCCATGGCGTATCCCTTGATCCCTTCGAAGCTGCCCTTTAAGAACTCGAAACCATCGTGCGATAGCCCCACGGTGGGCGCCAACTGTCGTGGAATTGTCACGGCAGATGTCCTAGTGTGAGGACTTAGTCGTAGAGCCATCGTGTTGAGGTTAACTTAAAGGGGTTAATCAGGACAAAGGACACGAGGAGTTTATACCAGTTCGGCCCCTTACGATGAAGGTAAAAGCCTAGTCCGGTTGTGATTGGAATTGCTAGGGTTTCGATGAACGGGGAGCGAATACGCTTGACCCGGCTCTCGACCTCTTGTTTCTTGTCCCTAAACCGCCGCCCGGTCGTCCCTTTATATACACAGGTTGATGCTCAGTCGGTTTACAGAATCCCGGCCGGCTCATAATCATGCCCGGCTCGATATCTACTCTTTCCTAACGTACAATACAAGTCATACACCTTATGGCGGTTTACATTTATGGGCTCTAACCCGTCCCTGGGCCCTGAGTCTTGTTATTACGTTTCTTTACTAAAGCACCATCCGTTTTGTCTTCATGGGCTTCAATACAGGTGCTTCACTATGGGCATAACCCGGCCCCTCCAGGGCGGTTTATGCTCAATAGTTATATCCCCAACAGATTCCGTTTGATATTCCTTTTCTGTGAAACAATGAAATAGGCAAAAAAAACAGCAATTTGCACTGGGTCTTTGATTAGTAGGTTAGTCCCAAAAATAATATAAAAGTGCATAACAAAGCACATTAAACATCCAAAACAGATGATATAATAGCATGGAACAATCAAAAATTATAGATACGTTGGAGACGTATCATTTGTCGAGGTAGCCCTGCGAAAAATGCCGTGGTCGATGTCGAGTCGGGGTGGCCGGTGTCGAGGAAGTCACCGTGGAGCTGCGGGCGCAAAGAGGCGTCGAGTTAGTCATGGGCCCAGTGGTGTCAAGTAGTGGTGCGCCGGGAAGAAGATATTGTCGATGACGCTTCGCAGCGGGTTTGCCAAGCCCGGGGCACATCGTAGACGAAGGCACGCACCGGTGTTGCCAGCACCAGGCATACGTAGACGAACGAAGACGAAGTTGACGAAGCGCCGCACCAGACTTGACAGGTCCGGGACACGTCGTGGACGAAGGCATGCTTCGGTGTTGCCAGCACCAGGCATGCGTAGAATGGGACCTGCACCAGCTGTACGCCATGTCGAAAAAGTCAGAGAAGCCAACAGAGAAGGACTCGACGACGGTTGCGGTGCCAATCGACGCGGGGCCGATGTCGCCCGCGGTTGTCGGAGTAGATGAAGTGGTCGAGGTAGATGACGGTGACGCTGGCGACGGGCTGGTGCTGGACGAAGACGAAGGGGGTGGACAGGCGGCGGCGGCGGCGGCGACCGAAGAGCAGCGACGGTGACGGCTAGGTAGGAGCGCGACGGCGATGCTCGAAGGAGGCGAAGAACCCAACATCGTGACGAAGACCAGCGCGGACAGTGGCGTTCCCGCGCCAAGGGAGATGGCGCGACATATACCACAGGAAGTCGAAGCGCGGGGACGATGAAGTAGACCGCGGACCGCGACACTACACGATCCGAAGAGCGACGCAACGACGGCAGGCATGTCGGGGCGATGGCGGAAAGACCTTAGGGCGGCGGCAGTGACCACAGGTCGCTGCGCGACGGCCCGGGAGGCGGCGCAGCAACGAAACCCGAGTCGATGCAACCGCGGAAACGACTCAGAACGGCAGCGTGACCGCGTGCCACGCTCGCTACGGCCCGAGGGGGCGACGCAACGGTGGCGCGATGGTCGGTGCAGCCCGGAACGGCCGCCGTCCGTGCATCGGTCGCTCGCGTCGTTCTGCGCCAACCATCGTCACCTTGATTGGATCGGGATCCTCCTTCCACGTCGTCTCCATCCAGCTCGATTGCAACCAGGTGCATCTTTTTCTCGGAGGATGATGCGTCCCGTGTGGCGTGTACTAGTGCAACACATTGGCCGTGCCTTGCATGGCTAGCTTGGTCACCAGCGCCATACAGCGCGACCCAGGTGCTGTGCACGTCGACAGATGCGCGGACCGCGGCCGTTCCGGGCTGCTGCATGTCGCGCCAGACCCTCGTGTCGGAGAAGAAGCTGCGTAGTTGTGCCGATGTTGGAGTAGAGGCGTGCGGAGGTCGATGCAAACCGATCGTAGATCGGAAGACTAAAAAGAAAACGCCGAAACCATCGGGAGGGAGCGAAAAAAAAACAAAGCAAGTGCTCGGGAAAAAGACTCTCTAAGGCAGTCGGTCAACACGACCGGCAGACGAACCCTAGGTACGGGCGGCGCGGCCCCGGCGGCGGTCATGGAGGCCAACCGCCCCGAAGGTGGTGCGCGGGTGCGAAAGCGGCGGCGGTTAGGGTTTGTTATCGATTAGGCTGATATCATATTAGAAGGGAGAGACGAGTTTGATGAAATAGTTCGTCATATTACTTGAGCCCCGTGGGCATATATATAGAAGTACAAAGATCAATTTAAAGTACAAGACAAGGCAGGATCAAATCCTAGTATATTCTATACTTTCTAATAATCAATATACTCAAAAGAGCTTTAGACATGGACTTCTTATTGTATTGCGGAAGAATGAAAAACACACACACATTTTTTAATAAATTGTTCGACCTTTGCTGTACATATTTATGGCAGGGCCAGGCCCATAGGTCTACAGAGTGTGTGGCCCGCACAGGGCCCATAATTTTTAGGGGCTCCAAAATTTTTATATAGGCCTAGGTATATTTTCTCCTGGGTGCTGGGCCGCTCTTGGCACTGGGCCGGTGGAGCCTGGCGCTTCCGCGCGATTCCACGTGAGGCCGCTGCTCGATGGGATGCCTCGATCAGAACAGAACGGGATCCCCCTCGATCGCATCCAGAGGAAATTGGCAGATGAGAGGGCGCATCCAGACCAGATCAAAATTGATCGCATCGCGTCCAGAGGAGGCGGCGGGCGACACGACGACAGGCAGGCCAACGAGCCTTCCGAGTTCCGATTAACTTCGTCTGAACTCTGATGAAGATATTCCTCTCGCCATCGCCATAACAGGTAGATCAACAAAGCATGTTCCTCTACCCTTGCTAGTCATGTGTCAGCATGTGTAGCATCAGTCGTGGAGGGTTCCCCGTCTTGATTTGATATCGGCAAGAGTTAGAGAATCCATCAGTACTTGCATGGTCCAGGCCCTAGTTTAAGTGTTTAACTACTCCTGCCAGCTGCCACTAGCTTGCCCTCCTGATTAACTTTAGATCCTACATTTCTACACCTAAGTCCTAAATCCTAATTAACTTTTTGGCAGAGATGGTTACTTCGTTGGAGATGAGTTCTTGCCTCCTTGATTAAAGATCATAGTATAGCAGTTCATCTAGACAGGACACAAGACTAGGTGAGTTAGATGGTTCGTCCAATTGCCAAACATTGGCGCATAATCTCTAATTGATATCTGTTGACAGCTGCCCTATCACTTTAATTTTATTTTATTCATCTTTTGTATCTTGTTTTTCAGTAAAACAGATTTGAGTCATCATGGGGAGAAGATTGATTACGAGGATATCATTGAAGATTTCACTTCAAAGAATACTAAAAGAATAATGTTGTTCAAATAAATATTATACAACCAGGAGTTGAATAGGTATGATTTTTTTATGTAACCAATTGTTATGTAAGACATTATATCATACGCATTATAATTGCTTGTTAGTTCTTTTTTTTCTAGTTAGATAGGGCCCTTTTTTAGTCTTGCACAGGGCCCCAGATTTTGCCGGCCCGGCCCTGCAAATCGATCAACACAATCGGCCCTGGGAGCTCCAACACCAAGGAGTTAGTGAATCTAAAGATAAGCGGGGATATGAAAAACGTAAGAAGAAGAGAAATTGAAGAGCATATTCAATCTCAAAAAGTGGCCATTGGCAGTTTTTTTGTGAAAAAATATAGATGTTAATGACGATGAGATTCATGTTGGATAGTACTAATCAAGATGACTTAGATTTTCCTTTTGGCATGAGGTAGTTCTTCGAGAAATCCACAGTACCGCGATGATTAATGAAAAAACAGTCCAATTGGTTTTCCTTTGCACAACAAAGCAAGCCATTATTAAAAGGCAATTTATTGGATATTTTAGCATAACCATTTATTCGATTTATTGTATGGTTAACATGACTGACTGTCGAAACCCTTCCCTTACATGTAATGGCTGAGGGCAACTGACAACACACACTTTCAGAGCAAACACATTACGAAGATAAGAGGGGATTGACCACATGACCCATGAATAGGACCACACCAGAGATGTCTTCCCGGAGAAGGAAGAGGAAAGGGTGATCCGCGATGAAATCCATGACCGAGGGCGGCCTTGCCTGTAGCAGGGCCATTTTAATGGCAGTTGATGCCGCGGCCTCAGTTCCTTGTTCGTTCACTTCCACAAACGCTTGGTGGAAAACAGATGAGACACGAAGACCGTGTGCCATTGGGGAATCCACCATCTCGGAAAAATCTGCTTCATTGCTGAATGGAAGCTGGAGGCCCAAACATTTGAGCAAATCAGATGCTTCCGTTTCAAATGATATCTTGAACTTGGGGAGCTTGAATTGCCTAAGTGCAACCCTCTGCCTTGGGATATGCCGCTCCAGGAAGTCTGGTTCAGCACTCAATTTTTCGGCCAAGTTTGAGAGACCACCTGGTGCTTCTGGAAGAAGGATATACATGGAGAACTGCCTCTTGTCCCCACCTTGCTTGTAGGGAAGCTTAAGTACCTTCAACCCATCAGAAGACGAAAGGTATTGGTCATCCATGCTGGACATGAATGGTGTTTGAACTGAGCTCCCATCAGGAAGGTAGAAGTAGTCGTTTTTTGTTCCAGATGAATCAAACTGATCTGTCCAAGCCCCTTTGAAATAAAGGGCATTGGCAAGAACAAGTTTAGTGGTATTGTCAACAGATCCTGATGGGAGAATGTCCTTGATGCGACCGCTTGTGACTTTCTCTACCCATGAGTTCACTTGAGTAGCAACTTCAGCGGCCTGCGCCATGGAGAAATAAACAAAGGTCAATTACGTAATGAAAATAGATTGACAGTACTGCTGCCGCCAACCTTTGAACAAACAAACAGAAAATTCTTTCAAAGAACAGAATATAATTGTTATGCTAAGAATGCAAAGCAGCATACTAGCGTTTTTATAAAGCATTTCTATAGTAAAATTTTCAAACACATAGTAAAATCATCACATACAACGACGGATGACAGAGAAACAATTCATATGAGCATACAAACTTAAATGGTCATTACCAAGCCAAAATACTAAACGTATGTACCTATAGGAAGTTGGAAACAGTGCTAAAGCTGCTAGTGTAAAAAATAATGGTATACAATAACCACTAAATTACAAATCTAGAATGTGTATAAGATTGATACAGACCTCTATATTACATCAGCACAAAACAAGCACTTTGAGTGAAGCAATGGCATGCCAACATGTACAGGCGGCTGAAGTAGTTAGTTAAGCATGTCATTGTTTCTCTCAAATGTACATAATTATGTCCGTTAAAAAATTCTTTAACTCTGTTTTTGTTTTCTGGTAAGAACCGAGCCCACGGGTGGGGGGTGGTCACCTTAGTTTGGAAGTCCACGGATTGGGTCTCAGCCTTGTACTTGCACACTGCAAGCTCTTGGAAGGATGGCTTGAGGAGCAGCGACGCGTCCACGAAGACACCGTTGGCGAAGGCGACATGCGGACCTCCAGCGGAGGACGCGTCGGCGAGCACGAACTGCACCACCTGCTCGGCGAGCGCGTGGAGTCCTTCGACCTCGCCTGTCCCGAGTGTGGTGACGAGTTGGTCCCGAGTGGCACTGCCCGCGCCAGCGGCGAGGAGGCTAAGCGCGACATGGAGGGAGACCGGGGAGAAGACGGCATTGCTGGCAGCAGACTTAGGGTTGGATGAGATGGTGGAGGCGAGACGGAGGGCGAAGCGGGTCTGGTGCGCGATGGAGAGGCGGACGTCGGTGGCAAGGGTGGTTGCCATGGCTGAGGTGGTGGTTTGTTGGGTTTTGGTTAGACCTGAGAGGAAGATGGAATAAATGGGAACTTTAGAGGTGCTATTTTCATGGGTTCTTGTGGCTATTTAAAGGGAGCCACATGCCCACTGTTGTGCAAAGGTTTGAAGCATCTGCAGTGTGGCCAACAAAACCACAAAAGCAATTTGGGAAGGCTCTCGATCAATTGCGCCATAAAGGAAGATAAGTGGTTTGTTGTCTCTCATTTAATTATTCATCGTCCAGTCATTTCGTATATACGGGAGAAACCTGAACCAATCCTTATCTAATTCTCAAAAAATATAAAGGAAGATAAGTGGTTTGTTGTCTCTCATTTAATTAGTCATCGTCCAGTCATTTCGTATATATGGGAGAAACCTGAACTAATCCTTATCTATTTCTCAAAAAATATCCCATCCTATCCCGGGTAAGTGTGCGGCTTTCAGTCTTATCTTCCCGCACGTATGAATTATGTAGAACATCAGATTCATCTGAAGATTGGTACACGCCTCGTGACATGTTCGTTTTAGAAGCATGGTGTTTTATTAAGATCACACAACGAATTAGTAGTATTCCCTCCGATCCATATTAGTTGTCACTGAAACTTGAGCGACAACTAATATGAATCGAAGGGAGTACTAAATGCCAAGCTTAAGATAGTGACGCCAATGTGTAAAGTATCAAAGAAGATTTGCATTGTAAATCATGATATAACATGATTGGGATTTGCATCAATTGCCGTGGGGTGTGGGCTTGGCTTGTGGTCATGTGGATGACCCTCCCCCTCCCAAGATGACGAAACAGATAATCCATGCTTGTCACCACTTTTCCCCTAGAACAACGCTCTTCATCACTTTTCCCTTAGAACAACCAATTTACTTGGGATTACCATATGTCTCGTGACCTTTTAGTTGTTCATTTTAGAGGTATATCATTTTCTTAAGATCACACCGCTGATTAACGAGTAGTACTAAATTCAAAGCTTCAGATTGCGATGAAAACGTGTAAAGTAGTGATCTAAACGCTTTTATATTTCTTTACAGAGAAAGTACATAAGATTTGCATTGTATTGCATCACATAACAAATTTTGGATTTTCACCACTTTTCGTGTGGTGGAAGCTTAGCTTGTGGTCATATTAAAATGTTATGATCCAAAACGGAGCATGATTTCATTCCTTAACTGCTCCCTGGCATACTAAAGGATGGCGCTACGAAAGATGACAAAACAATCTGTCTTTTCCATTGCGTCTGCTTGTTGCCATGGACCTTGCGTTCAGAGATGTGCCACCTCTTTCTAGTGTCATGTACATTGGTCTGATGCTGGTCTTGGTATCGCTCTTTGTCATGTACATATCTCACTACAAACAATACATGTATACACAAAAAAATTGTTTTTGTCATTTACCTACTCGAAAACGAGCAGAACTTAAGCTTGGAAATGTTGATACGTCTCCAATATATCTATTTTTTTTTATTATTTCATGCTATTATATCATCAATTTTGGATGCTTTATATGCATTCTTATACTATTTTATATCATTTTTTGGGACTAAACTATTAACCCAGTGTCCAGTGCTAGTTCTTATTTTTGCTTGTTTTTGACTTTTCAGAAAATCAATACCAAACGAAGTCCAAACACAATAAAACTTTACGACGATTTTTTATGGATCAGAAGGGACCCTAGAAGGTTTGAGAGGAGGCCAGAAGAGCTATGAGAGAGCGACGAGCTCATGGGGCGTGCAACTCCGTTCGACCTAATTCCAAGCCTATAAATTCATAAATATTCCCAAGCTAACAGAGAGCCACCCGAAGCACTTTCTCCGCCGCCGCAAGCTTCTATTCTTCGCGATCCCATCTGGAGGCATTTTTTGATACTCTGTCGGAGGCGAAAACGATCACGAAGGGCTTCTACATCATCTGTGTCGCCTTCCGATGGTGTGTGAGTAGTTCACCACGGACCTACGGGTCCATAGCTAGTAGCTAGATGGATTCTTTTCTCTCTTTGATCTTCAATACAATGTTCTCCCCGATCTTCTTGGAGTTCTATCCGATGTAATCTTTTTTTGTGGTGTGTTTGTTGGGTTGTTGGTTACTATGGTGAAATCTATAACATAGGACTGAGTAGATTGTCGCTTTAGAAGCAACAATCGAGAGTGATCAATCAAACTTTCATTTATGAGCTTGGTATGATTTCTAGACGATTGTGCCAATGGAACACTGTACTTAATAGTGGTTCTATAGCTCAACCTAAGGAATCGTAGGTCCTTCTAGTGATTCAATACATAACAAAGCTAGCATGACAGATGCATTGAAATGCAAATGATACACGTGGATCTGAAGTTGTCAAGATCCAATGGGATGAATGCTATACCACAAGCTGAGCATTGACAAGCACCGGATTGCCATTGGTGTAAATGAAAAATGTGCTAACTAGATTATTGACTCTAGTGCAAGTGGGAAACTATTGGAAATATGCCATAGCGGCAATAATATTGTATTATTATATTTCTAGGTTCATTATTAAGAATTTATATTTCATGTTATAAATGTTATGATTCTGGAATGTGAGATTCAGTGGAAAATCCATAAGCACGTGTGGAATGACAAAGGGTAAAATAGCATTCTTAGTCTCGCATCTGAAGTTGTCAGTGATCATGTTTTCTGGATCCTAGAATATCTTTAAGAGTAACATAGTCGTAAAACAACATTGAGAGGTTGACTTTAGAAGAACGATCATATTGAATCAGCCAAAACTTATTTATTATACTTTGAGATAATATCGTCAGAAGTCAATTGCTATAACACGGAGTGTTAATGTACGTTTTAGTTCCTTAGACCATAAGAGTATCATAGTCACTTCCTATCATACAGTGGACTTTGGGGTTGCTCAAACGTCATCTATAATACGGTGATCATAACAACAACTTATAGGTTCATCGGAAAGTTTGACAAGGGATTAGATAGCTCAAGAGTGGGATTTGCTCCTCCGGAAATGGAGAGATATTCTTAGAACCCTCTCCATGTGAAGACATCATCATCGTCTGGCGAAACATAGGTGACTATGTCATGGAGATGCCGGAAGATTTCAACGAGAAATAAGAACAAAACCGGTAACAAGGAGAACGGTATAATGAGCATGTGTATGACTCAAGAGGATACTGACACATCTCACCTTGGGTTTTGTAAAGTATCTCGAAGCAAAGGGAATATCACATGATAATCAAAGGTTCACTCAAAGGCCATTCATGTACTCATAGGGATTGATATGGACGTCCAGGTTCCGCTATCGATCACTAAACAAAGGGGGTTTGTTTATGTCTATGTTTTACCGAACCTACAGGGTCATAAGTTTAAGGTAATCACGATCTGCTGAGTGTTGGTAGGACAAGAGTGTGACGCCCCCGATTTGACCGTACACTAATCATACACGCAAACGTGTACGATCAAGATCAGGGACTCACGGGAAGATATCACAACACAACTCTACAAATAAAAATAAGTCATACAAGCATTATATTACAAGCCAGGGGCCTCGAGGGCTCGAATACAAGAGCTCGATCATAGACGAGTCAGCGGAAGCAACAATATCTGAGTACAGACATAAGATAAACAAGTTTGCCTTAAGAAGGCTAGCATAAACTGGGATACAGATCAAAAGAGGCGCAGGCCTCCTGCCTGGGATCCTCCTAAACTACTCCTGGTCGCCGTCAGCGGGCTGCACGTAGTAGTAGGCACCTCCAGAGTAGTAGTAGTCGTCGTCGATGGTGGCGTCTGGCTCCTGGGCTCCAACGTCTGGTCGCAGCAATCGGGTATAGAAAGGGGAAAAGAGGGAGCAAAACAACCGTGAGTACTCATCCAAAATACTCGCAAGCAAGGAGCTACACTACGTATGTATGCATTGGTATCAAATGGAATAAGGGTATCATATGTGGACTGAACTGCAGAATGCCGGAATAAGAGGGGGATAGCTAGTCCTATCGAAGACTACGCTTCTGGTGACCTCCATCTTGCAGCAGGAGAAGAGACTAGATGGTAAGTTCACCCAGTATCATCGCATAGCATATAACCGATGATCCTCCCTTCGTCGCCCTGTGAGAGAGCGATCACCGGTTGTATCTGGCACTTGGAAGGGTGTGTTTTATTAAGTATCCGGTTCTAGTTGTCATATGGTCAAGGTACAACTCCGGGTCGTCCTTTTACCGAGGGACACGGCTATTCGAATAGATCAACTTCCCTGCAGGGGTGCACCACATAACCTAACACGTCGATCCCCTTTGGCCGGACACACTTTCCTGGGTCATGCCCGGCCTCGGAAGATCAACATGTCGCAGCCCTACCTAGGCACAACAGAGAGGTCAGCACGCCGGTCTAATTCCTATGGCGCAGGGGTCTGGGCCCATCGCCCATTGCACACCTGCACGTTGTGTACGTGGCCGGTGAGCAGACCTAGCCTCCCTTATCGTAGGCTTTCCAGTCCAACCTGGCGCACGCCGCTCAGTCGCTGACGTCACGAAGGCTTCGGCTGATACCACAACGTCGAGTGCCCATAACTGTCCCCGCGTAGATGGTTAGTGCGTATAAGCCAGTGGCCAGACTCAGATCAAATACCAAGATCTCGTTAAACGTGTTAAGTATCCGCGAACGCCGACCAGGGCCAGGCCCACCTCTCTCCTAGGTGGTCTCAACCTGCCCTGTCGCTCCGCCACAAAGTAGAAGTCGGGGGCCGTCGGGAACCCAGGCCCACCTCTACCGGGATGGAGCCACCTGCCCCTTTAGCCCCCATCTCCGAACAGTATCATGAGTAATGTAACAGTATAAAGTATATAGTATATGCCCGTGATCACCTCCCGAAGTGATCACGGCCCAGTAGTATAGCATGGCAGACGGACAAGAGTGTAGGGCCACTAATGATAAACTAGCATGCTATACTAAGCATTTAGGATTGCAGGTAAGGTATCAACAGTTGTAGCAACAATGACAGGCTATGC